CACCCATGAATATTAGGATTGGACTACTTAATACCGAGAAAGTGTGAAATTAACTTTGATAAAATGACGGAGCAACAAAAGCCAAATTCCGGTAAGTGTTGTTGCATTTGTTGATTTAAATGTCACAGCACTTAAACCAACTACAATACCCGTATGTCAGAGAAGATAATTAGAGATAGAATAAAAGAACATCCCCAAGGAAGCCCAATGCTTGTGGAAGCAGTGGAAAACCTATCCAGGCCAGTGGACGTGAAGATGAGAAGATCACTTGTGGCAGGTCATCAAGTAGCATCCATAACAGTGGCCAATTTCTCTAAATGTGAGCAGACATTTAAGAAAGGGGCATTGTTGGGTGTGTGCCAGGAGGTATAGCTAGTCAATGTTAAGGCAAAAAATAAAACCATAAAGAAAGGACATCCTCTCCCAGAACATTTAACTGACCTCTACAATTAGAGCATAGTCCATTTTTCTTCATTACAGGCTCTTCGGGTTAGGTAACGTTTGGTGAATTATGTAGATGTGTTTTCAAAAGGAGATCATGACCTTGACTACATAGACCTTATGGAGCACAGAATATGCACAGGCAATCACAGTCCAATAAAGATCCCTCCAAGCAGAATAGCTCCAGCAAAGCGACAAGTAATAGAAAAGGTCATGGACGGTCTAATTAAGGAAGGGATAGTTGAAAAAGATCCCTGGTCAGCTCCTGTCGTATTAGTCCAGAAGAAGGATGGGACCCAATGTTGCTGTGTAGACTTCAAGGCTCTTAACAGTATAACCGAAAATGACTCAAATCCACTGCCAAGAATTGATGATACTCTTGATGTCCTAAGTGGAGCCAGGTGGTTTTCAACTCTGGAGTTAAAGTCGGATTTCCATCAAGTGAAAATGGCTAAAGCAGATAAACCTAAGACTGCATTTAGTTATGGTCGAGGTCTCTGGCAATACTGTGTGATGCTATTCGCGCTTAGCAAAGCTCCAGCAACAGTTGAGAGACTGATGGAAAGAGTACTAGAAGGCCTACAATGGAGGATAGCCCTAGTGTACCTGGATGAATTGTGTTTGCAGCAACATTTGATGAAGAAGTATCATAGCTAGAGGAAGTATTCAAGAATTTGAAAGCAGCAAACCTCAAACTCCATTCCAGTAAACGCCTCTTGTTTCAGAAAGAAGTGCTTTACTTGGGTCACATTGTAAGTGAGCATGGTGTGCAAACTGATACTGACAAGGTGAAAGCGGTACGTGATTGGCCAACACAAAACAATGTGGGAGAGTTAAAAAGTTTCTTGGAATTCTGTACCTATTACCGAAAGTTTGTGAAGGACTTTGCAACTATAGCTGCTCCACTACATCATTTAACAAAAAAGGCCAGAAGTTAGAATGGACAGTTTCTTGCCAGCATGCTTTCAAGACATTGAAAGAAAAATTGGCCTCAGTTCCACTTTTGTAGCTTTCCAATCCCTCACTGCCATACATACTGGATTGTGATGCTTGTAATGTCGGAATTGGAGAAGTAATTTCTCAGAAAGTAGGCGAAAACGAACATGTGGTGGCCTACTTCAGTATGGTCCTGAGTAGACCAGAGAGGAACTACTATGTAACTCGAAGGGAACTCCTTTCTATAGTAAAGAGTCTGACATATTTCCATCCTTATCTCTATGGGGCTAGGTTTACCATCAGGACAAGACCAATGCTTCATTACACTGGTCAAGATCATTAAAGAACCCAGAGGGACAACTGGCACGTTGGATCAAAAAGTTACAGC